AGGATTGCAGCTTGGGAAGACCAAATTGATGGAGGTCAGGAGGAGGATCAATGAACTCCATGACTTCATCAAGGATAAGAGCAACGTCCACAAGGCAATAAAGGAAATGGTGACGGGCATCAAATCCGCCATTATTGCTGCCGAACGTGAACAAGATGCGCTGAGGACGAGGTCCGTAACTGCCGAAAGGGCACTGATCGAGGCCAAGGAGAAAGCAGCAGCTGAAATACAGGAGACGCCAAAGGGACCTCGAAATCCACGCTCGGAGAAGAGGAAAAGGGAAACTCCAGGAGAGGAAGAGGAGTTGAAAAAAGTCAAGAACGACAAAGAAGACAACAAGGAGGAAGGCTGGCGTACCGTCGAGAAGCCAAAGGAGAAGTGGAAAAAACGGAAGGAAAAAGACGTGAAGAAGAAAGCTGAACAGAAGAAGGAGATACCCAGGACTCGTCGGGAGCGAAGTAAGGGCGATGCTCTGATCGTCGAAGCTAAGGACAAAACGTCGTATGCAGCACTCCTCCGGAAGGTACGAGAGGATCCGGAGTTGAAGCAACTAGGAGAGAACGTGGTGAAAACCAGGCGAACCCAGAAAGGCGAGATCCTCTTTGAGCTGAAGAAGAATCCTGCTATCAAGAGCTCAGCCTACAAGGAGCTCGTTGAAAAGTCTCTTGGCGAAGGGGCGAGCGTAAGAGCTCTATCCCAGGAGACAGTGGTCGAGTGCAGGGACCTGGACGAGATCACCACAGAAGAGGAGCTAAGAAGTGCGTTGAGAGTGCACTGCGATCTGGGAGATGTCCCGATGTCAATCCGCATGAGGAAGGCGTACGGCGGCATGCAAACGGCGGTTATACGGCTTTCGACAGCTGCAGCGAATAAGCTGTTGGAGACGGGCAAGGTCAAGGTTGGCTGGTCATTGTGCTCGCTGAAAGCCACTCCTCGGGTTACCAAGCAATTGGAGCGATGCTTCAAGTGCATCGGATTCGGTCACCAGGCGAGGAACTGCAATGGCCCTGACAGATCTGATCTGTGCAGGAAATGCGGAGAGAAAGGCCATATTGCAAGAGGCTGCACGAAGCATCCGAGGTGTATGCTCTGCAAAAAAGAGGACGGTAACGATCATACGACGGGAGGCTTCAAATGCCTAGCATACAAAAAGGCGATGGCAGGCCAACAGTAATGGAGGTAACCCAAATAAACCTCAATCATTGCGACATTGCTCAGCAACTGTTGTGGCAGTCGACAACAGAAACAAAGTGCGACGTTGCAATCATTGCGGAACCGTATCGAGTCCCTCCCGATAACGGTAACTGGGTTGCGGATAGAGCTGGGATGGCAGCTATACAAGTTATGGGCAGATACCCCATTCAAGAAGTGGTTGCGAGCTCATACGAAGGCTTCGTCATCGCCAAAATCAACGGAATCTTCATGTGTAGTTGTTACGCACCCCCCAGATGGACGATGGAGAAGTTCCACGAGATGCTTGATGGACTTACCGAAGAGCTGGTCGGACGACGACCGGTAGTCATCGGAGGAGACTTCAATGCTTGGGCAGTGGAGTGGGGAAGCAGGTGTTCCAATGCAAGAGGGCACAGTCTGCTGGAAGCTCTGGCAAAACTGGAAGTTATGCTGGCCAATAAAGGCACCAGCAGCACTTTTCGCAGAGATGGCCGAGAATCCATTATCGACGTTACTTTCTGCAGTCCGTCGCTGATGGCAAACATGGATTGGAGAGTGTGCGAAGGATATACCCATAGCGACCATCAGGCGATACGATATGGCATCGGTCAACGGAATACTGTGGCAGTACGGAGGACGAGAACTTGTGACCGAAAGTGGAAGACGAAAGCTTTCGACAAGGATTTGTTCGTTGAGGCACTTCGTGCGGACGGGAGTCCCGTAGATCTAAATGCGGACGAGCTGACAGAAACGTTAGTGAGAGCATGTGACACGACCATGCCGAGGAAACTGGAGCCAAATAACAGACGGCGTCCAGTCTACTGGTGGAACGAGGCACTTAGTACTAGCGCTAGTTGTCTCAGAGCCAGAAGACGTGTTCAGAGAGCAAGAACGGAAGCAGACAGAGAGGAACGAAGAGAAGTGTTTCGAGCGGCCAGGGCCGCTTTTAAACGAGTGATTAAGCAGAGCAAGTCGAACTGTTTTAAGGAGCTGTGTCGAGACGCTGATGCCAACCCCTGGGGTGACGCATACCGAGTCGTGATGGCGAAGATCAGAGGTCCAACGATGCCCGCTGAAATGTGCCCAGAGAAGCTGAAAGTCATCGTGGAAGGACTTTTCCCGAAGCACGACCCAACAACCTGGCCACCTACACCGTACGGAGAAGGAGAGGGAGATAACGTCGAAATCACCAACGAGGAGCTCGTAGTAGTGGCGAAAGGATTGAAGGTGAAGAAAGCTCCCGGTCCGGATGGAATCCCCAACGTAGCGTTGAAAGCGGCGATCCAGTCATCCCCGGACATGTTCAGGATGGTGCTGCAGAAATGCCTGAACGAGGGTCACTTCCCTGACAGGTGGAAGATACAGAAGCTAGTGTTGCTGCCGAAACCAGGAAAACCGCCGGGGGATCCAGCATCATACAGGCCTATATGCCTGCTGGATACACTCAGAAAACTCTTGGAGAGGATCATCCTAAACAGGCTGACGAAATACACGGAGAGTGAGCACGGATTGTCGGAGAGGCAGTTCGGATTCCGGAAAGGGAGATCTACGGTGGATGCAATTCGGACAGTGGTCGAGAGAGCTGAAAAGGCGTCCAAACAGAAGCGGAGAGGAGATCGATATTGCGCCGTGATAACGATCGACGTCAAGAATGCGTTCAACAGCGCCAGCTGGGAGGCCATCACCGAAGCACTGCATAGAATGAGGGTCCCTGACTACCTGTGCAGGATCCTGAGGAGTTATTTCCAGAACCGGGTTCTGGTCTACGAGACAGACATGGGACAGAGATCGATTAGGATCACAGCGGGAGTTCCACAAGGCTCCATCCTTGGTCCAACGCTCTGGAACGGGATGTACAACGGCGTGCTAACGCTGAAACTGCCCAAAGGAGTTGAGATCGTTGGCTTTGCGGACGACGTCGTCTTGACGGTAACAGGCGAGACGCTGGAAGAGGTGGAAGTGTTGTCAACCGAGGCAATCGACATGATTGGTAACTGGATGAAAGGAGCGAAGCTGCAAATAGCCCACCACAAAACGGAAGTGTTATTGGTCAGTAACTGTAAAGCGGTACAGCGGGCAGAAATCACCGTCGGGGAGCACACCATAGCCTCGAAGCGTGTGTTAAAATACCTGGGTGTGATGATCGATGATCGGCTAAACTTCAACAGCCACGTCGAATATGCCTGTGAGAAGGCTTCGAAGGCCATCAACGCGATAGCCAGAATCATGCCGAACAACGCTGGTCCCAGCAATAGCAAGAGGCGTCTTCTGGCCAGCGTGTCATCATCGATACTGAGATATGGAGGTCCAGCCTGGGTTCCAGCGCTGGAAACGAAGCAGAACCAAAGGAAACTGAGCAGTACGTTCCGGCTTATGGCCATGCGAGTCGTGAGTGCGTACAGAACCATCTCGTCGGAAGCAGTATGCGTTATCGCCGGTATGATCCCTATCGGCATCACCCTGGCGGAGGACAGCGAGTGCTACAGGCAGAGAGAAGCCGGAAGAGTACGGAAAGTTGTGAGAGTGGAGTCATTGGCTAAGTGGCAACAGGAGTGGAACACGACGGAGAACGGTAGATGGACACATAGACTAATACCGATTCTTTCGACCTGGGTGAACAGAAAACACGGAGAAGTCAATTTCCACCTAACGCAGTTCCTGTCTGGCCACGGCTGCTTCAGGAAATACCTGCATCGGTTCGGACACGCAGCGTCACCCCTCTGTCCGGAGTGTGGCAACGTCGATGAAACGCCGGAGCATGTGGTCTTTGACTGTCCAAGGTTCGAGGCAGTGCGAACGGAGATGCCTGTCCTTAACGTGGAGAATGTCGTTGATGAAATGTGTCGAGAGGAGGACTCTTGGAATGCCGTCAGCAGGGCAGTCACACAGATTATGTCAGAGCTGCAGCGTAAATGGAGAGAAGAGCAGCGATCTAGCAACGCCAGCTAGCGCTGAGAGTACGACAAGTGCATGAGCACAGCCACCCCCCGAAGTAGTCGCTTCACAGTGGTCCCGGGGGGATCCAGGCAGAGGAGAGAGTAAGGAATGGGTTTTAGTGGAGCTGCACTAGGCAATTAGTGGATACCACACCGTGCCACCTTCACTACAGGCCAGGCTTCTTGAAGCTTTCCTAAACCTTACTATAAAAAAAAAAAAAAAAAAAAAAAAACACACACACACACACACACACACAAAGATTTAGTATTTTCTCCAAATCGTTTAAAGAGGTCCTGGGTGTGCATAAAAATTCCTGAAATCTTACTACCGACTGTAAAAATATTCAGGGTTCACTATACACTGGAACCTCCTTTTACGAACCACAGTGTTCGTAAATCGAAACAGGGCGTTAAAAACCCTCATTATTTGGGATTTACTCCGCAAAAAAAGTTTTGTGAAAACATTGTCAAATACCGCCACAATATAAGTATTTTTGGAATGGGGGTAACGCGTAGGTAAATCCATGTATGAAGCTTTTTTGAAATGCAAGAAGGCAGCTTCCGATTAGAGAAAAACTTATAAATACTGTCAAAAACCCCACAGTACTGGTATTTTTGGAATCGGAGTGATAATGTGGGGTACTTGACAGTATTTTCAAGTTTTTTCTATAACTGTAAGCAGCAGTCTTGTATTTCACCCCGATTTTAAAAACACCCATATTGTGGTATATTTCACAGTATTTACAAGTTTTTTCTCTAACTGGAAGCAGTTATCTTGGATTTCAAAATGGCGTTAGACATGGATTTTCAGACCCTTCATGGCACTCCGATTATGGATCCAAAATATCCATATTGTCCCCATAATTATTGACAGTATTTTACATTTTTTTTCTAACCGGAAGCCGCCATCGTGGATTTCAAAATGGCGCCAACATTGAATCCCGGTTCCGGTTCCTACACGTCACCCAGATTAAAAAAAATACCCATATTGTGGGGTATTTGGCAGTGTTTCCCATCCCCGGAAACCGCCATCTTGGATTTCAAAATGGTGTTAGACATGGATTTCCAGTCCTTACACGTTACCTCGATTCCAAAATTACCCATTTGGTGACGTATTTCACGGTATTTCCAAGATTCCCATAAACAAAAACGCTATTTGAAATTTGCTTCGTAAAAAACCTCGTTATTTGGGATTTATTTCGTAAAAAGAGGGACGTAATCTGAATACTTCCTAAAAAAAAAGACTTTGTAAACTGACTATATTATATAGTTTTGGGCTCGATTGATTGAGCCAGGTGGAAGTTTGAACAACTTATATAAACCTCTTCTTTTTTATTTACCCTTCTTCAAAATGTTATATTTTTAAGAAACATTTGGTAAATGAGCTGAGATTTTGCTCATTTTTAATACAAACATATATCTTTTATTTGGCATCAATTTAACTAAAAGACAGTACGGAAATTGTTACAACAGTTATGTTTGTTCTGATAAAAATGGCCGTTTGTTGACACAAATATTGCTCTCAAATTGTCATTTAACATTTGTTCTGTCTCAGATATATACGGAGTGTTGACAAATGCCAGAAGCTTCCACCAGTTTAAAAAAAATAAAGATATTGTGACTGAACAAAAAAAATATTAATTATTGCTGGTCAAATTATTGTCACTGCCTTATAAAGGGTTATAGGAACATCAGAGCTATTCTGATTGGACATATTACTCAAATATTACACTATAATGAGGTATCGTCTCTACCGAATAATTACTAACAAACATATCGTTTGGTTGAAATTTGTTTGGTGAACTGCTAATTTCTAATTAATCTGAATGATCGAAATTGCAAGAGCACATACAACATACAACAATGAAACTGGAACTTAACGTTTGCTGCAGTGCAAACAAGGATTTTAAATTTTATGAGCAATGCCGCAACAGTGTCCATGATTTGTGCTCTAGAAAACTTGAAGTGATAGGGTATAGCCAATATGACGGCTATTTTTGAGTTCTTCAATAAATCACCTTAAATAAACTACACCTCGTTAAAACATTTGAAACCGGCAAATAGCATCGTGACACACATTTTAGATATAGCGCTCAACATTCTCTAATTTATTATTGGATGTGGAATCATGGCAGCAGATGCACATAACAAAGTTTGACTTTATTATTTATTTCAGTAGTAGGGAAAATGCTCGTATATTGACCATGCTCGTATTTTGGCCATGTTTTGGCGATATTAACGTTTTCTACAAGTTTGAGGTCTTGAGTTTTGTTAAGATTATTGATTCAAATCATATTCATCGGGGTACACATACATATCGCCCACAAAAGTACGAAAATTGTGGTTCAATCGTTTTTCTGAGGTATGGCCAAAATAGGAATCCTATGTCCAAGACTGGTGAACTAAACCTTGTATTAATATTCAAAGTTTAAAAGAATCTTTGCGCCATAAAGGGAAATTGATGGCTTCGGAACTTCTTTACCTATTAGCGTCAGGGGGTGTTGACAGTGCTCAAAGACTTCATTTACTCTCTGACGATAATAGATAAAAAGTGCCGAAGCCGTAATTTCCCCTACCTATTGAATTTAAAAAAGTTAACATAAATTTAAAAACAAATTGGAAAGGTCCATTTCAAGAGTACTTTATTCTTATTTAACAGCAGGAGTGCGCAAGTAGGATTTTCTTGCAGAGTAAGATATATCGAATGAAGTGGGCTGCCCTAGCTGTTATTTACATAGGCACTGTGCCAGAGTCGTGAACTTTCCTGTTCATACTTACAACCTGGCCCCGATCGGTGTGCGCCAGATTCATTCACCCAATTCGTGCTAGGGACTAGTTTTTTTTCTCTCGTTCGTTCATATGCAAGAATATCATATCATATCTTGCTTTAGATTAAGTTGGACGTATCCACGTAACATTCACATTGAAATAGTTCCCAGCTTAGTTTTAATGAAGTGAATATGTGTTACACACCGGTTGGCATTTGATTACTGGCGATTTTTTTTAAATTACCGGTTAGGTTTGGGCCGAAGGGTCTTCGATTTATATGATATCTTAACAAAAGTAAATTTCTAAAAAATCAGGTATGACAATTTTCCGGAAAACCTTAGTTAAAGTTTTCCGATTTTCTCGGACACCACCAACATCAAAAAATCATATCTTTTGAACCAAACATACGGACGGTGTGCGAGGAGAACGAACAATTTGTTTTTTTTTTTTTTTTTTTTAAGAAGAGCGCTAGACCGGTTATCAGTTTTTCGGGCATATCTCAAAAACGGTATGAGATACGATACTGAAATTTTCACCGAAAAAAGTTTATAAATGTTAAAACATGAGAACATTGTTTTGATATAAATCCATGGCACAGACGATAATTTCCACAGCTTTTCTTATGGATTTTCTTTAGTGGTGAAAACCTTCATGCGAAATTTGTTTCCAATTGTTTTTTTTTTATGAATAGTTGACCAAATTTCAAGCAATTTTTGTCAATTAATTGTTATAGTTTTTTTTTAAGTTGGTGGTGTCCGAGAAAATCAGAAAACTTTAACTCAAGTTTTCTGGAAATATTGGCATCCCTGTTTTTTTTGAAAAATTTACTTTTGTTAATATAACCATGAAATCTACCTACGGGCGAAGTTTCATAGAAATCGAAAACCCTTCGGCCCAATTTGTCCGATAATTTTAAAACAAAATCCCCTGATATAAGTGTAACAAATCAAAATCAAATACCAGTTTTAAGGTAGGATAAGGTGAGGAAAGATTTATTTGTTGTCTTTGTCAACAGGTTCAATGCAACCCTAAAGATTGTTTGCATTGCAGATTGAGAGCATCTTGAAAGTGATATTAAGACTTCTAAAACCTTTAAATAGTCAAAAATATACTGGAACGCTGCGTTCAAAAAATACGAAAATACACATTCTGAAATATCATAAGAGGAAGTAAATCTTAGATGAACCCAGTCTCTTAAAGAATATTTTTTAGTTTATTTTTCATTGTTAACTTTTAAATAAGGACTTGACATAAATAACCGTAAAACTTTTTTTTTTATTTAAAATATATTTTTACGGATTTTTAAAGAAAAAAAATTACAACTTCACAAATACATGTAGGACTGTAGGGTAGCCCAGAAACTAACAACTAAGTTTGATATTGAAATAAAACACTTTGGTTGCAAAAAGTGCTAGAAGAAACATGTCCCAAACAGCCTTAAATGATCGAATCCATTAAACAATGTTTTTGTTTAAAATCAATAGCATGCTAATTGTTTCAATAGTTACCCAGTTGAATTCTCAAGATATGTAGATGATATGGACGAGCATAATGAACACATGCGGAAGCTTAAATAAATACTGACTATTTAATGGTAGATTGACAAACATGAGACGGACCAAAAAGTTGTGGAAAGGAGAGGGTTAAGGATCTTATTTTTTGTATGTACGTAGGGGAAATGACAGCTTCGGCACATCTTTACCTATTATCGCCAGGGTTTAGTTTAGTTGAAGATGCTAATTTCAAATAACAGACTAAAGTGGTAATTTTTATACGATAGATGAGGAGATGAAAGTATAGAATTGAGTACGGCAGTGTGAAAATTCCATATAGAGAGTAGAATGCGAGCAAGGACAACTTTAGGAAGGTACAAATCGGTTTGATCATCTCTCTTTACCAAAGTTGGAGAGGGGCGGTGAGGGATATTCCCTCCTGGCCTGTATTATTCACCTTCACCGCCTTTTCCCCTACATGTACTTTTTAGCATACTCTTGCAATTGCGTTTTTGGTTACTGAGCAGAAGATCGTGGGTTCAATACCAAGCTCATTTGCGTTATAGGATCGTTAGCACACCAAATTCAGCATATAGTTTACCGAAACAAATCATGTTGCAAACTCAACCCTTTAATCTAAGATCACAGTGATTTCTCGTGGCAGTTCAGAGGATTTTTCTACTTCCATTCCTTTCTTGACCTGCATTCGGGCGTGACCGGCGCTGGTATTACCTAGTTTGAGATCACCAGTATTTACATATTGAGGATGCCCTCCCCATGGACATGGAGGTTGACGGTATTGAAGCAAAGGGTTATGTTTAATTTCTTTATATTTGCAACGATGATGATTTCCTATAGTGACACATATCACCTTCTTAATGCTTCAGTATGCCTCAAACGATTAATTCTTGGTTGTTAATAGAACTTCCTTCATGAAATCGGCTGCTTCATGCAGACTGAGCAATTCTGATTATAGTATCAGATTTGTTCTGTATACAGAGGAACTGGTAGGGCTTATTAGAAACTTCTCACCAATAAAGTAATGATCTTCTAGTAAATTTTGCATATCATTTTATTAAAATTTTATTTTATTTTAGCATATTATTTTTGTTACAGTCAATTGGCATTAGCATACGACACAAAAGATTTAATATTACTTGCTCGTTTTTGCGTAAAATAATCAATAATACCATTGAAAATTTTTTTTTCAATTTTTTTTTGTGATCTGAAATTTTTTCCAGTTTGGTTAGAAGTTTCGAAGCTAACGCATGTCCACAGGCCTAATTGAAAGATAGGCAGAAAAAGTGTATCATGAAGAATGGTTGCATGCAGGGTTGCTTCCACTCACTTGCTATAGATGAGTGATTTTCGGAGTTTTGAATTCGTTAGATGTTGTAATGGAGATTTGTGTCGTTGGATGCGGGAGGAGATTGGAGGGCGGGTGTTTGACGCATAGAGCCTGTCAATTTCGCTTTCAGAGTGTCGCAGTCAGCGGTTTTATGATTCGTGAGCGCTCACGATTTGTAGAATCGTTGATTGTGACTGCAAGTGGATTTGGCAGGTTTTGTGTGTCGGACGCTTGCTTTTTGGCCTCTTCTTGTGTCTAACATGTGCAGAGTATCATTATAGCGTCTAATGGTTTTGAGATTCCTGGTTGCGTGAAATATATTTGGGATAATATCTTTTTGAGAATTTAGTAGTCACGTTTTGTTTGTAGCTTTTATCTTATTCCTTTCATGTAATTATCGTAAATAATAGTTTTTCAATAATAGATAGTTCATCCATATATTCGTACTTTGACGCGAAGCGCTGTGGATTATGAGATGCTCGATGACCCTGGAGGGATCGATTTTGCTTACTGAGCAGAAAATCGTGGATTAAAACCCAAGCTCTTCCACAGCACAATAAATCGCCACCATCATTTGTATATTTGATATTGAACGTTAACCTCGAAAACTATTTGCATATCAAGCGAAAACGTAGTCCTGTATTGTCGCGAAGCGTTATGGTTCTAAGATGCTTGATGACCCAGGAGGGATCGTTTTTGCTTACTGAGCAGAAAATCATGGGTTTAATCCCAAGCTCATGACTCTTAAAATTCATGATCACTAATCAAAATGAATATGTTCTTTCGATAGCCGGCTATCGAGATATTAAATAAACAACAAATAAACAATACATACTTTTGGTTGCATCGACAACTTGAGGTGAATCCTAACCGCATACCCTACCAAACCCTTCAACTCCGTAGCACTTATAAGGGTGTCGCTAAGTCGGTGGCCTCTCGTTAAGTAAGTACTACATCAACATTTCCTTCCCTATCCCTAGTTATGGTAAAGATGGGCGTGGCCGGGAATAGCGACAGTCATGCTTCTGTTACTCTTGTTTAGATTGGAACCAATGTTTACTTTAATGTTTACAATGTTTAATTTACTCCCCAGCATTATTCCTGAATGTAGTCTAACTGAGAATTTCAGAAGAGACGTGAGTGTCGCTAGTATCCAATCTACGAAGTATATCATAACAACGCTAACGCTAACGCAGTATTTACACATTGAGGATGAATGCTTGTCTAAAGCACCGTCTATTTGTTTTTTGTGTAATTACTGCTTATCTGGCAATAAACAGTCCATATAAAATACAACATCATAGTGAACGACCTTAGGATGATACTTAAAAATTAAAAATTTTGAGTGATGGTTTATGGTATTAAAATGTTCTACAAAGTTGCAGAGCTCATAATTTGCCACTTATTGAGGGTGTTACTTTACGGAGAAAATAAAATTAAGGCTGTGAACCATTTGCTGAGTTAAATTTAACAAGTGACATTTCGAAAGTTATTTCTTATGTTCGAAAATCCCCGTGCTGTCGATCGACCGGTTTTCGAGCCACGGTCGTCAAAATTTAACTTCTTGTCTGTCAGAAATAACCACGCTCGAATAGCAGGGTTAATCGATAACTTTCCATCTGTCAAATTTTAACCAAAAGTTAAAATAATTCACCAAATGGTTCAGAGCTTAGAGTGACAACGAGTCATCACGGTGACGTACATTGTTGCATTTTGCACACAATCGAAGGACATTTAAAAAATGAGTAGTACATTTTCATGTAAAATTGCTGTATACAGTGTATCTCAAAATTGACCGTACAGATGTCCTTAAATTTTAGAAAAAAAAAACAGCTGAATTTCTAGCTGCTGAATCATCATAGATTTATTAATTATTGGTACAGTGTTGGGCTTATTTGGTTGCGTTTATTAAAAGTAAGAGCAATTTGTGAAAAATGCCTTTTACTTGAAAAACCTTAATATATTGAAATATAATGAACTAAACTTATTAGCGGCGCCGGTGGTGTAGTGGTAAGCGTGATTACCTCTCACCTCAGCAAGCCTGGGTTCAATCCCAGTTGGCGCCGCCGGGATGTTTTGAGGCATAACATCTCTGATCACGCCTTCCTTCGGAAGGGTCTAGGTGTGGGAGCTGCCTCCCTGGCGTCGGTAGCATTGGTGCTCAGCACGAAAAACAAGATCGACGGAAAACAAATCAAGGAAAAAAAGCTAAACTTATTGAAATTTTGCTCATTTTTAATCATAATAAAGATCATTCATATTTCACTAATTTAACTAAAATTCGTGCACTAGGTAAAAACTTCAAAATCGTGGTAAAAAATTGAAAATAAATCTAATTTCATACAGGTTATTCCAGGTTAAATTTCCCGATTTCCCTGGAGTATGATTGTACCTGCCTCATCGTTATACTGTATCTTATCCCAGTCGTAGCTACTGCACCAATTAAGAGTAATACTTAATTCAAATTGACATTTATATTGATGACTCACCACAATTAATATTAAAAAAAAGTGGCACTAGAAAGCATGACAAATTTCTTACCTCTCCACCGCTCACGTTGCTGACTAGAATACCACAGTATTCGCTGTTGCCTTGTTTGGCCAACAAGTTGAGACTCAGTCCGACCACGGCCGATCCGTTTCCGAAAGTCATACAAGCTGGAGATCGATAATCCCTCGCGTGGACCACACCGTTGTAAGGAGTGGTGAATTGAATTCTGATGTTCATAGATCCCGATTTGCACGTGGCCGTTACGTGCGGAGCGAATTCTGCATCCTGGGACGTGACCTGGTGAAGAGAAAAAACAAGTAATTAATAGAAACGATCTCATCGAAAATGTGAGGTTTTTGAACTCGTACGTAGGTTTTGTTATTGTTTTGTTTCATTTTTTTTTATATTTAAATTAGAGAGATGACCCACAAATTTAACTTCAAATGGAAACTAAACAAAAGTAAACCGCTGGTGAAATTAATTACCAGAGAGGGCCTACTATATCAACCACAGAGTGTAAATGAAAATGAAAGAGAAAGAGGGTTAATGCAGGGCATTCTTTGACGGTTTGCGCGTAACGTAGGCATAGTAGGCACATTTGACTGTGCACAATTTCAGCGCTTGTTATGCCATAGTTAACTATAGCAAGCGGTGAAATGAGAAAAGCCTGAACTGATCACAATGGTGATGGGACTGAACGCTAACACCACAATAATAGGTTGAAATGGATGAAGCTTTTTCACACGACTTGGCTTCGTAACAAGCCAGGGCATGAAAAGGGATTTTCAAAGTGATAAATTAAACAATTCAATATTTCTTAATACTTTTATTTCGGTACAATGCACCTATCATATGTGCATATATAGGTAGGATTAAATTATTGTTAATGGTTAAGAGTAATAAGGTACGACGTGTTTTAGATCAAGTCAGATGTGTGAATGTGACTCATGATGTGATCTACACAACACAATAATTGTGAATCAAAAATCAGTCGAAACTGTGTACAGTGCCCCAAAACTATCCTTTGTCTGGAAGCCTCCAAATGATAGCTAAGAGTACGATGCACATAGAATTTGCGAACAAAATTAAATCCAGGGATGGGTATTGATTAGCAATAGATTTGTATAAATAAATCATCCAGGTAAAAAACATAGGCATGATGAAGTGATTAGATTCTCTTCGATCGTGATTTTGCATAAGATTTTTTTTACGGAAACCATACGAATTACTTGACATTTTCTAAATTGAAAATTTTATAAAGCTTGCACATACTTTAAAAGATGTGTAGAACGTGCTTTAGTTTTATGAAGCAAGTATAGAAGTCCCAAGAGGTCTTATTGACCAAATGGCTTGCTCAAACCCTCGACATCTTATGGGCAAACAATCTAGCCTTTAAAGTCATATACCATGTTCCAGATATGCCAGATATTCCAGATTAGGGCTGTATTTAGGAAAAAAAAAAGTATTTGCAATCTAGTAGGCCACCCTCCTGTTTGATTTATAACCCTAAAATATTAGCCCATACAGAAAATGCAAAGGTTTGATCATGGTCGCGAAGTTTGTATGGAGATTATGACGAATTATTATCGGGAATTGTTTGAAATTCACTACTATTGCTCTATCTTTGGTTCAACTTGTCAGAATGTTGTCTGAATTGAATATGTGGCTGCCATGACAACGATTAACAAGCCTTTCGTTGATGTGACGGAAATCGGTGTTGTAGTCAAGCACATATTCAACTATCAATTTACCATATTCTGACATAAATTCAAATCATTATCTTTTTTTTTCCGTGTCGTGGACATTTACCACTGCGACCAGTGTTTTGATCTATTGTGGTGTAAAATCATTATCTTTCTTGAACTGCTATTTATTATATTTACCACAAGAAACCGACTTGTTGGTCATTATAAGCCTCATATTATTTTATTCATCGCTTGGACAACCAAATCTTATTTTCACGTCTTGTTATTTTGTGTGTGCTCCAGTGCTCTAATTAATTTTATAATTTTATTTGTTCTGGAGATTACAGCAAGCGGCTTTTCTATTCAATTCCCTTATTCCCTAGAAATTAAGTGGATTAACAGGGAAACCGAAAGCACTCGCGTGATCTGCAGTCGGATGCGTGTGAAACTACACCAGAAGGGAATGGACTGAAAGCTGAATTGGAAAATTTCGTGCTGGCTACACGATGAATGCGTTAACAAAGCCCTACTGGCAATGATGCAGCATGAACAAAGAGAATGTAATTAAAATGGAAGTTTATGGTTAAATAGAGAAAATTGTTAGCTTTAAATTTCATGTGTAATTGCCGGTCAATTTACTGGAATTGAGATTAATTTACTTCATTTCACAATGGTTCTCTAAGGGAAATTGATGTGCTCAAATATTTACATTCCAAAAGTGAGGCCAGATAAACGATTTAAAAAAAATCATAAATAGAAATTATTTTGTCTACATGATTCGCCATGTTTAGACTATAGCTGATATTACGTAATATAGACGTAGGTTAAGGTTATGTTGGCATGTTGAATTCATTTTGATACTAAAATTAGGTGGAAATAATAAATATTTTAATATGTGTAATATTTGCGAATCTTATACTTAGTCTGACAGTTGTTTTGTTTTGTTTTTGACTATTTTTGGTTTGAAGTGTACATTTGACATTCGTTTAATAAAAAAAAATGGATTTCACACCAGATGCAAGTCATTCTTTGATGATCTTGCTGGCCACCGCCACCAAAATCCGCTCCTTGTTCTAAAAAATTTGGCATTATTTGTTAGCTGATCTTAGTGCAAATAATCAGTCGCACTTCTGTCTCAGAAAATAGTCATTAATTTCCACGAATTCTTCATCGTCTGCGAACCAATGTGCTGTCCTTCGATGGAACGGGATTCGACTGACTACGCCTCCCTTGTAAACGGAGTCCCAGAGTGATGGTTCCGTAGTCGTATTACACTCGATTTGCCATGAGCTTGCAACTGGCAAAATTTGCTGCTGGGGGAACGTCCAGTACCGTTTTTATCATGAAAAGTCGAAGTCGAAATCGATCAGAGCTATCGAAAACGAAAATCTAGGCAAAAATGAAAGCTGCAGTAAATATAAACAACAACGGTGAAACTTCATTGAGTGTATGCGTTAAATTTATATTGTTATATTTTTTTTACTTTGAAGCTGTCCGCTTGACAGTTAATATCATTAATGTTTATACTAAAAATTATAATAATTATCAATTTGAGCCATTTTTACACCAAATATTACTGCAGATCAAGTTGTACTTACCCTAGGATAAGACCTACAAAATTGTTGGCCATGAGTGGTTTGTAGAGAATCATGTGAGCATAAAAAACGTTTTTTTTTTGAAAATCATTATTTTTGAAACAAAAATATTTTATAATTATGGTAAGGAACTATAGTCGCTATATTCATAGTGTGAGGGATAAAATTTCGATTTATCAAAAAGCGGAAACAAGTCAATATATTGTAGACCACCAATTGAAAAGGCACTTTCCACTTTTATAAACAAAACGATGATTATTCTTTCCTCGCCAATCGAACGCAAATTACCAGCATCGTCGGATAGGGCAAACTTCCCCAACCTAAATATGGTATTAATTTGTCTTGAATCACGAAAACAGGGGTTCCGAAGTTTTGTTCGCAATAACTGATATGCTCTTTTTTGTTGTTGGTCGTGACTATGAATATAACGACTATATAAGGTAGTGGTTTGAATCATTTTATGCACTCACTGGAATATGTAACTGGATATAAATCTACCTGTTTATTTTTTATCTAACAGAACTTACCTTCATAACAGAAAATCTCCCTCGCAAACTTTCTGAGCAATTGTATAAAGTTCCCAGTTGAAGGACACTATTTAAATAACCCGGATTGCATTTTGATAAAAAAAATGCTGTCTTCAGCACCTAAATCCATACACAAACTAACTTATGTCAAAATCGCGCACTTGTCTATCGGTGTGGTATGAAAAACACACACTATCGAACTCAGGCGTGGGATGTGCTGTCAAATCGGCATACTGAAAATCCATCAATGAGATGTAAATATGTAATACCCCGTACAGACCATGGCTTATATCATGTAATATAGGCTGTCTTGCAATGAGCACTTATACATAGGATTTCCAGTGAAAACTAGATGTATGAGTGCTCATTGCAAGACAGCCTATATTACATGATATAAGCCATAGTCTGTACGGGGTATAAGCAACAATCAATACGAAACTAACGATTTTAAAATGGCTCACTACTTGACTAGCCTATTGGTCCCAAGCAAACGATTAACGTACCCCATTCTAGTCGAAATTCTAGTACTACGCAATGTTTGTTTTGATTCGATATGAAAGTTTGACAGATAAAATGAGGGGTTAGTGGTTTTTCCTATGTTTCGAGGGGTGAATCGATTAGCTTGGGACCAAAGAGAGTACCAGAGCTGAGCCAAAAAGTTGAGCACGTTATTTCGGGACCTTCTAGTCTTAGAGTTACCTCTATGGTATAAGGCTCAGTGAATTTTTCATCTCTTTCGTTCTCGGTTGAAGGAGTGTGACGTCAAACTCCGTCATCCATTTACTCATCCGGAGAACGAAAGAGACCACACAAATTTACTGCGCCTCACCTGTTTACACTCATTGATTTTCCATATGTGAATTTGGTTCCAAACATCAACAATTCGGAAATCGGAAATCGTTTAATTTGGCTAAATCTACCGTGTGCAGTGTCCTCAAAAGTTTCCGTGAGCGAAAAACTATTGTTCGGAAGGATCACAGTAAGCGTCGTAGTGGAACTTACGATCGGCATTGGCAACTTACAGCTGTATTGGAAGGTATGTATTGAGAACAATTAGAGCAAACCCAGGGCTCTCTGATGGCGACATTGCCATAAAATACAATTCCAACAGAAGCACCGTCCGGAGGATCCGCATCGCCCGAAGGATCCGCACCGTCCAGAGGAGGGACGCTACAGACAAAAAACACAAGTTTTCGTTACAAATGTGTTCCTTTGATTGCTGAAAAATACTGTTCCCCTAGTTTGAAGTAGTCAGGACTAGGAATCGGTGGTAGATCTTAAATCCCGTAACGTACCACGAAAAGGTGATCTACCCACGTTACGGGGCCGCGATAAAAACTGTCCTGTACACTTAATTTGTTTCGCCAAGATTCCAACAGCTGAGTAGTTCTGCAATTTATTTTGCTGAGATTCAGTAAAACAATTGCCAAGACTCAGCTAACAAATAACTATTTGCTGAAATATCAGCTAACAAACAGATATTTTGCAGA